TKCTKGGCAGAAAGACCAAACATCCTCAGTASGAGACTAAGGAGCRTCATCCCAAATTCTSTGGTTGTCAYTGGAATCTTGGGCTGCTGTGAAAATTCCCACCCAGGAACAAGTTTCCTGAAACCTGGATGAGGACTTGATCATGTTTAGAAACACCGATTCATCTGAACTCATCACAACAGAGAATCTTCTACATGAACAGCCTGTTTCTTCCAAGTTACAAGAAAAATAGGAATATTTCCAGAGGGTTATTCGGGGTGAAGGACTACTTGCATTTTTTCTTCAAGACAAAAGATTTCAGTGATACCAGTATTGTTTTTCTCAGGAAAAAAAAATTAAAAAAAAAAAAAAAAAGTTTTGCAATCCTAAATTTAAAAATGCTCCTGCCACTCATCACCAAGTCAGCAAAAGAAGAAGGTTTTTTCCCTTTTCGTTAGGGAAGACAGATGTCAGGAGGTGAGGCCCTTGTGGAAAAGCAGRTCAAGGCCAGCAGAGAGCAGTATTTTGTCAGGAACACAATTTCCCCAGGGACRGGGCAAAATAGTACAGTATTTATTTCTCTTAGCTGAAATATCTTGCATATATGCTCATAAACAGTGTTGCACTTAGGATTAGAGATTCCAAAGAATTGGGAATGTAATGCTATGTTGTCGGGTTTTTTTTCCTTTCCTGTGAAAAGCATTACTTATGTGCATAGGAACAGTTCTCAGGCAGTTCTTGTAAACCCTCTTGCCTCAGCTGGGGATCTGTGATGGACTGTAGGTGTTTTAAATAATTTTGGATTTGTTCCTGAGACTTTGTCACATGCAGTATTGTGGTCATTCTTGGAATTAGGCCACACAGTCTGAGAGTTGTGACAAATTTTCAAGTATGGTGTCTACATATTATACATATTATTTATATATTTAGTTTCGTAGCTTGGTGTATTATATATATATGAGAATGCAGATTATTGGGAACCAGTTTGGGAACCATTTGGGGATTAATCTCTGTCACTTCTGCATTATAAGAATAATTGTGTTGGATGTCTGAATGAGAATTAATAAACAGGAATCAAAAACAAATGGTACAAAGAGGAGAATATGTATAATTAAAAGGCTGTTTCACCAATTTGGTCATGACTMTTGTGAATAGTAACAAGAATATGTTGTACTGTAAGTACAAAGTCAATATTTTTGGCTCAGTGTGCCCATGAACTGCACGTGACTGGCACATTGTGCAGGCCAGGTTTGWGCCAAATTCCACTGAATGATCCATATCCTACATCCTCAGAGAGGCACACGAGTGTTCAACCAGCTGATGTGAACCCAGCAGTAGAGTTTGGGCTGCTTATATTTGGAAATACTAAGGAAAAGGAGCAGCAACTAAACCTATAGCTCAAATTTCTGTTCAAGATGCATTTTTCTCCCTTCATCTCAAAGAACAAATTTATTCTTATCCTGACCTGTAGCAGAAAAATGTGATGTTCATTGACCCCTGAATGTTAACTTTTGCTGCAAACCATGCACATGTAGCCTTTGCTGTGGCAATCTATCACCCATCTTCCCCATATCCCTGAGCAGGATAGGAAGTTCTGCAGCCCTGTCACTTACCTGAAACCCCACATGGTACCTGCTGCTCTCTGATGCCCTCCACTGTGGTGCTTCATCATTCCTTCCCACAATTCCTGGAAAGGGAGGACTTGGCATCTCGACAACTCCTCTGCAGCTGCATCTGTCCCTGGTCAAGAGAGCTATGATCAAACACACCAGGCAAATGCTGAGTTACCATTTCCTTTCCTATAGAGGAAGCACAAAAAATACATTTTTCCATCTCCCTTCTGGACACCCATCAGTTTTTGACAAAGTCATAGAAATTAAACGTCTTTGAGACATTTGTGTTTCTGGCAATTTTGGCAGAAAGTAGTAACTGGTTCAATATTTTGGAGGGGCAGCTCTGTGCCTGTGTCATCGAGGGTGTCTCCCAGGGGATGCCACTGATGTTTTCCTTGATCGTTTTGGCAGTAGCACCACAAACCAAAAAAAACCGAGGAGGTCTCTGCTGTTCCTCACAAACCGTGTGCAGCAATGAACTGTAACTTTGGAAATGCTGCCTCAACGTGGTCTTTTTGGTGCCCTACAGGCTGAAGTTCTTCATAAATTTATCATGACCTACATAATTGACCTATATTATGTGTCTGTTTGTTAAATAGATTGCACTAATTATAAACATGAATGAGGATGGCTTAGCGGTTATTTATTTATACCGAGGTGTGTGCCTGTTGTCTGAAATGATGTACGGGAGGATCATTGCCAGATTTTCCTCTTTGGCYCCTCCATATYTGWCATGTACCACRGACTATTRTAATAAAACATGAATAGTTTCTKCTTTCAGAGGGGAAAAAAAAARGRAAAATKKTTTTTATTGCTCTTCTAASCAAGGGGTTATCTCTTCCCRCAGGTCTGTRTGCAAGAAAATTGAGCAWGAGGGAGAAAACACAACACAGSAAAATTTTCAAGCTCTTGGTTTGTAGGGCAGTGAGTAGGGACTGAGTGTGTTTTGCACTTTGCTCACTTTATGGAGACTTTTCTAGGCTGGGAAACAGCATTACTACATCTTGCTGAAAACTGATCATTTTGTAATGAACAGATTTATTTCTCCTTGTGCTGGTGCCCCACTTGGASACTGCTGGAGCTGTTTGAAATCCAGGGTGCCGTTGAAATGTGGTGAGTTTCGGGGAACTGCACCTGCTCCCAGCAAGTATGAATTTTGCTTTTAACGTTTCAGACCGGCATCGGAAGCCTGGCTGATTTGCCTCTAGGGGCAGATTTGGATCAGGGCTTTAAAACAGATGTCTGCTGCCACAGACCCCCTCAGTTGTATTAGCGACGCTGTCAGGCAGTTTCCACTGCTGTGTCCTCATTCAGGCAGACAGGGTGCGCTGAGTGTAATCTAATTAAGGAGAATTCCCCAGATTTCTTTTTTTTTTCTCCGTGTCTGCTATCACTGTGTTTTTAACTTCTCCAAATTCATTATAAATGCGCCCATCTGTGGGCTGTCACATAGCACTGGCTCCAAGAARCTGGTTTTGAAGAAAAAATAGGTGGGGAGGATGAATAAAGTGAAAACAAATTGCTGTTATTTTTAACTGTTTGCAATTTCAGAAATTGTCCCGTGTGTTTCATGTTAGGAATGCCTTTCCAGGCAGTCAAAAATATATCTTTYACAAGTGAGTTTGTGGGCCAAATGTTCATTCAAATATACATATTATTCATTTGGTAGGCTGGTTGTCAAGTGGCACTGGTTTGTCTGTTGGAATAGACAGTCTATGCCTTTAAYAAACTTTTGTTAATAAAGATTTTTATTATCTTATAATTTGGGAGTCAGTTGTGAAAATTCTGAATGAGAAAAAAGTAATTTCTCACCTTATCATTCTGCTTCCTCTGCAGAWGATTGATCACAACCTCTTCTATAAAGCTTTTGAAAGCTATTACGGGTTTGTATATGGTGACAACAGCTTTTGGTAAAAATGCTCTGATTTAAAGAAACTTTTTGAGCATGATACTTGAAATGTAGAATAATTTAACTTTGAAGTGACCTCTTGAGGTTTCTGTGCTCAAAATGGCCAAATTTGAAGTTTGATTGGATTGTTCAAAGCATTGTCCAGCTGAGTGTTTAGTATCTTCAAGGATGAAAATTCTTGGGGCCCAGGAGGGCCTAAACAGGACTAAAATACCCACCCACAAGGTAAAATATGTTGCATGATACCAGCAGGAACTTGCCATGTTTCAGTTTGTGTCCATCACTTCTTGTGCTGTCTCTGAAGATCTCTGGGAAAAGCCTGGCTCCTTCCCTTCTTTAGGTAGCTGCAGATCGTCAAAGCCCTCGTCCTTGTTTCCAAAATGAACAAACAAGTGCTGAGTGGTGGGATAGGGACTCTTTCCTCTCCTGCTGGCTCTCCTTGTGCTAACACAGCCCAAGGCATGGTTGGTCTTCATTGCTGCCAGTAAGGCACAGGCAGTCGTTGTGGGATTTCGGAAATGATTTGCATCTTCACAGGATTACTTGTTTTCACACTGTTTATAGTTTCATGATTAATTTTCTGTGTGATTCTTATGATATTTTCAGTGACTATTATGTAAAGCATGTAAAGCAATTTTAAGTCATGAAAAAACAGAAAATTGGAAGTGTCTGTATTTTCTTAATATTCATAATACTATTTTTCTTGATATGTGTAGAAATGGAAAGAGGGAAATACAACTGGCTGCCAATACCCACCGTGTCTGTATATAACCCAGGGTGTCCAATTATAAAATTAAATCTGGCCTGAGGAGTTACTAGCACATGTTTCTCCATTGAAGAAAAATGTGTCTGGGACAGATTAAAGAGCAAAAACTACTTCAAGGCCCATTTCAGTGTGACAGTGCTCTCTGAGGCAGCACAGCCTGCTCACACTGCCTTCAAGAGAATGAGAGAAGCTGGAGCCACAGAGGCCTGACACAGCTCTGTGGGTTTCATTCTATGYATTTCTGTGGATTTGCAAAAGCTAGTCTTTGGTTCAGGTAACAAATTGAAAATCTTGAAAATTTCATCAGCAGTAGAACAGTAGTTGAAATGC